AATGCACACAAGGACCAAGTGACATGTGACAAAAGCATACTATTTAGGAATTTTCTCTTTTTTGCTGAATAAAAAACCTCTCATTTCAAAATGTATCTTGTAAACCAAAAACCACAATGCTAAAAAAGGCATAAAATAAAGCTCTAACCTTGAGAGAGAGTAGAGTTAAGAAAGTACAAGAAAGGCGAAAAGCAGAGTGCTGCAGAATGGAAAAAACAGTCCAAACTAGAAAAAACACAGAAAGGAAAGCAACATTCAAAAAAGGATTAGTCAAAGTTGCAAAAAATGCAGTACCAAAAAAAAAAAAAAAAAATCAGATTAAGGAGAAAAAGGTTATTTGAAAGATAAAACATAGCAAGTTTTCATTTTTAAAGTTAAAATTTAGGGTTAATAGAGACAGCAGTGGTAAATTCCCATTTCAATGAATAATACTGATATTTGACATAAATAGACAAAGGAATCTATGCTTTAGTAAATGGACTTCAGACAAATCTACTAAAAACTCTGTATACATCATACAACTTCAAGCATCTACTAACACAGAGATTTCAATGAACAAACATCATTTGTTTCAGAAATTTCTGTAATTTATATTGGTCATACCTGTAATTTATATTGGTAAGCGACTGAATAGGTTATAAAATGAGGAAGGCAGAAAAAAAATAACAACTTGCATAGGTGAAAGAAAGCATGAAGCAACACAGTATTCCATAATTAAGGTACAGTTTTATAGCAAAGAGCAAAATTGCAAATTCAGTAACCTTTATCTTTCTGAGTGGCATCATTTTCAGTTTTCTCCACAACTTAAGGGACCCATGTCATACATCATAAGGAATTTAAAAAATTTACAAAATGCCCTCCCAATAACTCACAATGCAGATAATAAAATATTTATTTTATTACAAATAAGGACAAATAAGTAACTCTCATACCTGGTAGCTATAAATTCCATTTCGTTTACTAAAAAAAAAATCCAATTTTCTTCCTTTTTGGGGGCAGGGGAACAGGGTCTTGCTCTGTTTCCCAGGTTGGAGTATAGTGGCTGGATCTTACTTACCTCACTGTAACCTCAAATTCCTGGGCTCAAGTGATCTTCATGCCTCAGCCTCCCAAGTATCTAGAACTATAGGTGTGCACCATAGCACTTGGCTAATTTTTTTTTTTTTTTGAGATGGAGTTTCGCTTCTTGTTACCCAGGCTGGAGTGCAATGGCGCGATCTCGGCTCACCACAACTTCCGCCTCCTGGGTTCAAGCAATTCTCTTGCCTCAGCCTCTCAAGCAGCTGGGATTACAGGCTTTGACATCATGCCCAGCTAATTTTTGTATTTTTAGTAGAAACGGGGTTTCACCATGTTGACCAGGATGGTCTCAATCTCTTGACCTTGGGATCCACCCGCCTGGGCCTCCCAAAGTGCTGGGACTATAAGTGTGAGCCACCATGCCTGGCCACTTGGCTAATTTTTTTATTTTTGTTTTGTAGAGACAGGGTCTTACTATGTTGCCCAGGCTGGTCTGGAACTCCTGGCCTCAAGTGATCCTCCCAGCCTCAGACTCACAAAATACTGGGATTACAGGTGTGAGCCACTGTGCTTGGTCCCAATTTTGATTTTTATTAAGCTTTTTTTTTTAAGACGGAGTTTCGCTCTTGTTACCCAGGCTGGAGTGCAATGGCGCGATCTCGGCTCACCGCAACCTCCGCCTCCTGGGCTCAGGCAATTCTCCTGCCTCAGCCTCCTGAGTAGCTGGGATTATAGGCACGTGCCACCATGCCCAGCTAATTTTTTGCACTTTTTAGTAGAGACGGGGTTTCACCATGTTGACCAAGATGGTCTCGATCTCTCGACCTCGTGATCCACCCGCCTCAGCCTCCCAAAGTGCTGGGATTACAGGCTTGAGCCACCGCGCCTGGCTTATTAAGCTTTTTAAAATGGTATTTTTAAGAACCATGTGACAAAATTAATGCAAAAACCAAAGTATTCTATTGGTATTTTAAGATTTCTCCTCATACCACACATTTGACAACTTTTATTACTGGATAACAACTCTGAAAAATCACCACAGCCATGTTTACTCTATAGGCCATAAGAGATTTAAAGATACAAAGTATTTATTTTTAAAGCCAAATAGCCATTGCAGTATGCAAGTCCTTTAAAAGGTCTACTAAAGACCAAGATATTGTAAATGCGTCATTCTAGGAAGGCCTTCTAGATGAGGAGAGAAAAATCAAGGCATGACTAAAACAATGAAGTTCTGAAAATTCTCACTGCTGGCCAGAAATCAAAACTAGCAAAAACCCACTTCTAGCTGTTCAAATATGAAGTTCAGCTGTATACTCAGGAATAATAGGTCATCTATGGCAAAAACCACACAGATTTATCTTCAAGATAATGTTTTCCTTGGAGGCTTTTTTGATGTAAAATTGACACCAAGCAATCATCATATCCAAGATTCTGTTTTTAAATCTGTATTATTTTATGTAAGAGTGAATCATCAAATTAAACAATAGTAATTTAATTTTTATAGCTTTCCTTTTATAATCTATTCACAAAACTTAACAAATCCAGGAAAGGAAAAATAAGCCCACATTTTTCCAATTTTAAGACTGGAAAATATAGTTGTCTTATGTTTAATGAACGGGGTAAACAAGCTGCTGGCCAAGGATGTTATACAAGGCACTCCAGCATATTCACAGGCACAAACTAAACTACAAACAGTATAATGTTCTGCTCTTAGCCCAATACATTTTCTCTTCTATTTCATCCAAATCGAATCTGTAATTTGATACAGTATTTGTTCCTTTGAAATACATGCATTCAGGTTTTCTTTAAAGCTTTCTTACCTTCTGTAAACTGATCCTGTCTGATGGTGGAATCATCTCAGGAGTAAGAACGTGAGGAGGATCAATGCCTTTGATTAACTTCTGACTGATTAAGTGAAAAGCCAAGGCAAACTGATCCTTTGAAAGCTTCCCACAGTCCTTTGTATCGCATAATGACCTGCACAAATGAACAAAAGGAACAGTATCTAAGTGCCACAACTGCCAAAAGTCCAGAGAAAAAGTACCGCTATGCAGGCTTTTTAAAAATAATGAGATGAATTTAAAAAGACAGTCACACCAACTTGCAGGTTACTAAAAACTCACTCAGCTATTAGAAGAGGTAGATCAACTAAAATGGTAAAAAGAGAATGTTCACCACGGTGCTCAGCAGGAGTCTCTAATCTGGACTTACACTTTGTGCTTTCTTACCAATTTCCAGAACCACTATACAGCAAAAGTTGTGGTGGGCCAAAGAATCCTAATATTCCTTACTCCCAAAATTTTAACATTTTAACATTAAAAGATATTAAAGATAAAACCTGTCTCAAGAAATTTTAATCACTGGTAGCATTTAAAAGGATTCTAAAACAAGCAAAATTTTCATGTTGGTATGCCTCCTGCAACTCTTGGAGTAGGAGGATATTAGGATCACCAAGTCAAAGCAGAATGAACAGCTGTAAATGGAAATCACATGTAAGGAAAAGGCAGCAATCTGGAAAGCCTTACAAAATCACTTGAAGAGAAACAGCAAAGGTTTTACTCTATTTTATTTTTCTTTAATAAAAAAAAAAAAATTCAGCTTTCTGAAGCCCTGATCTGTTTAATTCATTGAAGGCCAGTAGGGCCTGATAAAAAGATTACATACTTTAAAAGATTATGTGTCACATAGATCTTAAATTCCAGCTTTTCTACTTACTTCTTCTTGTAACCTTGGCTAATTTTTTAAACCTCTCCAAGCCTTAGTTTTCTCATCTATAAAGTGGAAATGATAACACCTATCTTGTGAAATTACTATAAAAATTAAAGACAGGATATATAAAAAGTATGGGCATAATGTCAAGCCCGTGACAGCTGCCATTTTTGAGTATAGTGCCTACCCTAGGCACTCAACTGTGGCAGCTACTACTAGTTATGCATATTTGATCTTTCCCAGTCTTGGGTTTTTATTTCTTTTATGGCAGATCTACTTACCGTCTGCCGCCGTTCTTTTCTAAGTTTCTCTTTACAACTATATGGTTCTACTTCTGAGATTTTCTGTCTCTTGAACACCTGAAGATAACCTCTGGTATCATTAGGTGGATTGGCAGCAGACATACTATAAAGCATTTTCACATACATTATCTCATTTTATGTGAAATTCATTAAAGACACTAGAGTTTGTCTTTTTCAAGGACCAAGTATGTTATTCCTATGTAAAGATATGAAAGTATACACATACACTATAGAATTACACAGGTATGCCTTGAAGACACTGGTTTTTATGTTGTTTAAATTTCAGATATCTGTATCCTCACTGAAAATTTTAAGTTTAATTGATATAAACAGATGCATTTTAACATTCTAATAACAATTAACTGACACAGTTTTTTCTGAGATGGAGTTTCGCTTTTGTTGCCCAGTATGATGGTGTGATCCCGGCTCACTGCAACATCCACCTCCCAGGTTCAAGCAATTTTCCTGAGTCAGCCTTCCGAGTAGCTGGTACTATAGGTGCGTACCAGCCTGGCTAATTTTTTGTACTTTTAGTAGAGACAGGGTTTCACCATGTTGGCCAGGCTGGTCTCAAACTCCTGACCTCAGGTGATCTGCCTGTCTTGGCCTCCCAAAGTACTGGAATTACAGGCATGAGCCATCACGCCCAGCCAATGCTGTCAGTCTTACAAAGCTTCGGGTAACCCATTCTCAAGCTTTTGTCCATTAGCCAGAAGAATTCTTCAGATTCTGATTTTCTCTATAAAAAATTCTGAAACAAAAACCATCCTATTTACAAATAACTAAAAATCAAAATGCAGAAACTGGAATTGACACAAAGCTGTACTTTAAAAAATCAATTTAAATAAAGTCTTACCAAATATGGGCTAGTAAGGTAGAAGGTAAACCTGTTTTCAAGAAGATTTCACGGACCTCCAATCCAGACACGAATCCATCCATATCTTTATCAGTTTTCAGGAAGATTTCATCGTATTTAGCTTTTTCTGCAGGGGATACAACCCACTACAGGAGGGGAAAAAAACAGTATTTCTGCCAAAATGAAACAAACTTTGGAGTGTCACTCTTTCAATTCATTTCAGTATCTGTCACAAATTCTGAACAATTCTACTCTACTAACTCAGAGCAACAATGTATCACTTTCATATGACATCTCAATCAAAATGCTGTGGTGAAGAGTAAATAACAGAAGAAAATACAGGTCAGTTAGGACTTATCTATAGTTGCGCATTTTTACTACTTTTTCTGTTAAGAAATGAGTAAATTCAAACATAGTTAACTCTTGACTTATTAATGCCCACATTAATATAAGTAACTGAAAGTCTGTATAAACAAAATACTCGGATAATTCTCAATCTTTATTTTTTTATAGTTTGACCCAGCAGTGTTAATGACGGGATTTACATATCCTGTCATTATCTTCCTTTACTCAATCTGACAAGAGGCAAGCTGGGAGCAGAAATAAGAGCCTTGGACAACCCAGAATTCGATAACTTGATCCCAAAGAATCAAGAGTTAACCAGGGATTAAACAAAAATAGAAATAATTATTAATTATGCCAGGGCAAACATGCCATGTTAGCATGGAGCATCTTCCATCTTGAACTTTAATTCCAGGTAGATCAAGATAAAGCCAATAAAACATCCATATGACTCAAGGCCAAATGTAGAAGAAATATTCAACCAGATGGTCCTCTAAAATTTTTATTCTTTTAACTGCTCTATCTTTGTCAAATGGTAAACTGTTAAATGCCATGCACGTTGTTAAAAAAAAAAATCCTTTAATACTCATAAATCTATACCTGTCTTAATGGTGCTTTGGTAGGTAAAATGCCTACAGATGGTAAGGAGTGGTAAGATTCCTTGGCTGACGCTGAAGAGGGGATCAACCACACAGAGCCTGATATACTGACCGTTTTTCTCTTAGAAGGTGGCACCAAGGCTGGAGGCAAGGACATTGGCACAGGTTCCTTCTCCAGTGCACAGTATACCAAAAACATGGCCTTCAAAATAAATGAACCAGGGTCATATATATTAAAAGCACTTCACATTCACCCACTGAATTGATTATTGTTCAATGATAAATCAACATCAGCCTGTCTCAAATCCTTTTTTAAGAAACTGGGCTGGGAGGGATGAAAGAGGGAGAAAGGGAATGAAAGAAAAACTAAGCAATTTTTAGGAAGATATCCTTAGTAAAAACTTAGAGATGCACCCTTCAACTAAGTTCTTGCAATGTCAAAGGCAAATAACAATTTGAGAAAACATCTGCAAAGAAAGAAGTACTCTCCCTAATATATAAAGAGCTACTAAAAATTAACAGAACAAAAAGTACAACAGAAAAACGGAAAAGTAATTCGAAGAGATGTTTTACAGACAAGTAAATACCTTAAATGATCCATTCTTTAACATACAAAAATATGCTCAATTTCACTCAGAAGAAAACCGTAAGTTAAAACTATACTGAAATACCATTTTTCACCTAATTGGCAAAAACTCAAATTTCATAATACACTTTGTTAGCTAAACTGTGAGGAAACTCTCTTACACTGCCAGTGGGAGCTGAAGGGTACCAGACCATGCTACTCCACAACATTCCACTTTCGTATTAGGATTATTTTGAACTGAAAGCAACTGAGAAGTAGTAGCATCAAAGAAAGCTCTCTGCCCTCCCTCTATATGCCTAAAAGCAGGACATAAATTTACAAAGGTGTCCATCTTGCCCTCTCTACAAAGGAAGGATAACAGTTGCTGCCCAAAATGACTTCAGACCCTTATCAGCCTAGAGGTGATACCAGAAGAATTACACAACAAGCTACACGCTGGTGGGAACGTAAATTCGTTCAGCCACTGTAGAAAACAGTTTGGTGATTTCTCAAAGAACTCAAAGCAGAATTATCAATGACTCAGCAATCCTATTAGTGAATATATACCCAAAGGAATATAAACTGTTTATCAAAAAGACATATGCACACATATGTTTATCACAACACTATTCACAATAGCAAAGACATGGAATCAACCTAAATGCCCATCAATGGTAGACTGGATTTTTAAAATGTGGTACATATACACCATGGAATACTACACAGCTATGAAAAACAACAAGATCATGTCCTTTGCAGCAAAATGGACAGAGCTGGAGGCCATTACCCCAAGCAAATTAACACAGAAACAGAAAACCAAATACCGTATGTACTTGCTTCTAAGTGGGAGCTAAACACTGACTAAATGTGGTCACAAAGAAGGGAACAACAGACACTGGGGCCATTGTGAGGGTGGAGGGAGGAAAAAGATAAAAAAAACTACCTATTATTAACTAAGTGACAAAATAATCTGTATACCAAACCCCTGTGACATGCAATTTACCTACATGACAAACCTGTACATGTACCCCTAAACCTAAAATAAGAGTTTAAAAAAATTTATTGTTCTTTGTTAAAGGTGCTATATAAGGCTAAGTTCATTTTCTTTTTTTTTTTTTTTTTCAGTAAAAAAAGAGTTTAATTAATTCAAGGCTGGCCACACCACACAGAAGACAGAGTTATTACTGAAATCAATGTCCTCCAGAATTTAGGGGTTAGGGTTTTTCAGATAGTATCAGAGAAGTGGGAGGGGTGGCTAGGCAATATATGCTTGCTGCTGACTGGCTGAGGGTGCAATCATGGGGGTATGGGAAGTGGTCCTCTTGTGCGTTGCATGGCTTCTGGGTGCGACCACAAGAGTGAGTGCATGAGCAAGCCACAGTTGTCAGACATGCCAAAAACTCCAACTGTAAGGCTACTTGTCTTGATTTCAGGGTGTAGAAAAGGCATAAAGGAGGCTCCACTGAAGGTTCAGTAGGAAAATTACATGGCCTCGTTGTGAGTGTCTGGCCCGTGGCTGGATGTCAGCAGCTTCTCTTTTTCTCTTTCTCAATGGATCACTTGAGAGATGGCCAAAGAGTTATTCCTAACAGCTCGAAGTTTGAAGAGGAGAGGATGTATGCTAGTATTTTTGGGCTACAGCTAGCTGTGGTGGTGGGAGAATTGGGCACAACATGGGACATGAGGCTCCCAACTGCCGTCCTGCAGGAGCCAAGGCACTCCTGGGCAGCTCCAAGGACGGAAAGGCGGGAAAGGCCACACTGGGGGGCTGTATTTTAGTCCGTTTTGTATTGCTATAAATAAATACGTAAGGCTAGGTAATTTATAAAGAAAACAAGCTTAACTGGCTTACAGTTCTGCAGGGTTCACCAAGCATGGCTCCAGCATCTGCCTCTGGTAAGGCCTCAGGAGCATCCAATCATGGCAGAAGGCAAAGAAGGTGCATACATGTTACTTGGCGAGAGCAGGAGCAAGAGCAAGCCCGAGTTGTAAGTCACCTATTTGACAGTTACTCTTTTCCTGAGTTTCTCCATGTATATATTAAATATACAAGTCGATAAACTTCTGTTTTTCTCTTTATCTTTTGTTACAGGGTTCTCAGATAAGAATTTAAAAGGGGATAGGAAAAAGTTATTTTTCTTCCTCTTATGTGCTTGAATAAGTACCACTCCTATGAAGGGCAAACTGGTAACATCTACCAAATTGCAAAAGTATTTCCCCTTTGGCTCTGCAACCCCATATCTAGGAATCTATCCATATTAAATACTGTACAAAAAATATTATTAATTGCAGCCTTGTATCAGCACCCAAATGCCCATCTACAAAAGCTGGTTTACAAAATTATGGTATACTCTACACTGGGAAGTTAAGGTAAAAAAAAATTGTTTTAAAAAATGGTATATTCATATAACAAAATACTATAAAGCATTAAAAAATCATTTTAAAAAACCACTTTGTCTTAACTGTGGTGATGCCTTCAGGCACACAATTGCCAAAACTCATCAAATTATATACTTAAATTGGATGCAGTTTGTTGTGTGGTCTTGAATAATGCTAACCAGGAAAAAAAGAATCATGGAGTTCTCATAGTGAAAAGGTATCCAAGATAAACTGTTAACTATGAAAAAGCATAGTGTTGAACAGTGTGTTTAGTGGGTTATCTTTTGTGGTAAGGAGGAAATAATTAGTTGTATTTGTTTACATTTACATTAAGAAATTCTAAGATAGGCCAGGCGGGTGGCTCATGCTTATAATTCTAGCACTTTGGGAAGTCCAAGGTGGGTGGATCACCTGAGGTCAGGAGTTTGAAACCAGTCTGGCCAACATGGTGAAACCCCATCTCTACTAAAAATACAAAAAAATTAGCCAGGCATGGTGGCAGGCACCTGTAATCCCAGCTACTTGGGAGGCTGAGTCAGGAGAATTGCTTGAACCCGGGAGATAGAGGCTGCAGTGAGCCAAATTGCACCACTGCACTCAAGCCTGGGCAACAGAGCCAGACTCCATCTCAAAAAAGAAAAAAAGAAATTCTCAAATAAATAACAAATTAAGAAAACTGGTCCTAGAGTAGGGATAAATGGAGCAATTGAGAGCAGGGGTAGAACTGAGATTTTTTTCACTGAGCATCTTTTCATATTGATTCTTGAACCAAGATATGCATCACCTATTTTAAAATATTTTAATTAAATACATAAAGTGCTGGCACAAAATTGGAAAAATCTGCATATAGACTGTCTTACAACATATCCTCTTCATTTTAAAGCATTCAAGCTACCTTCAAGAATTCCAGAACATGAAAGTTTTCGACAACTATCTCTGAGCATATGACATTACTCAAAGTAACCTGGAACCTCCGATTCTAACAACCATAAGAAGAAAGCTTGCATGTTTCTTACATTTTTCTTTTTTTCTTTTTTTTTTTTTTTTTTTTGGTTGGTTTTTTGCCCAGTGCAGTGGTGCAATCTTGATTCACTGTAACCTCTGTCTCCTGGGCTCAAGCCTTCCTCCCACTTCAGCCTCCCAAGTAGCTGGGTCTACAGGCACACGCCACCATACCCAGCTAATTTTTTTTCTTTAGGAGACAAGGATTAGCCATGTTGCCCAGGCTGGTCTCCAACTTCTCAGCTCAAGAGACCTACCCACCATAGCCTCCCCAAATGCTGGGATTACAGGTGTGAGCCACTGTGCCCAGCCTCTTCTTAATTTTTCTTTCCAGTGAAAATAACACTTCCCCAAGAGGAAACTTGCTTATAATTATATATTAAGTTTTGTGGGGTTTTCACATATGTTTATATATTCATTTAATTTGTTTGTTTTATTTATTAATTTATTGACAAGGGCTCACTACCTCACTCACTCCGATGCCCAGCCTGGAGTACAGTGGCGAGATCACAGTTTGCTGAAGCCTCGACCTCCTAGACTCAAGTGATTCTCTCACCTCAGCTTCCCAAGTAGCTGTGACTACATGCATACATCACCATGCCTGGCTAACATTTTTAAGTTTTGCAGAGATGGGGGTCTCACCATGTTGCTCAGGTTGGTATCAAACTTCTGGGCTCAAGTGAGCCACCACGCCCAGCCTCTCAAATCAGTATTTATTGAGCACTCAATGCAACAATACCAATCACTGATTTCCAGGATTACTAACATCATTTTACAAATGAAAACACTAAGCCTGAGATACTAAGTAACTTGCCCAGTATAATATTTTTTTGAACTCTTTTTTGACCTTATATGAAACTCAAGAACAATATTTTTAAGAAGTGATACAGTGGGTTCAAATCTTCTGGCTACAAAGCTCTTGTTTTTTCCAAAGTCGATCAGCTTTATTAGCAGCACGTATGTAATCTTACAATGCCATGCTTTCCCTCACGACTGATAAAACTAAACCTTAACCCACTGGTACCCAATTTTTAGCAGGTATCAGAATTACTTGGACAGCTTGATAAAGCACAGATTTCTGGACCCTGCACTCAGAATTATGTAACCAGTAAGGCTGGGGTTGGGCCTGAGAATTTGCATTTTTAACAAGTTCCCAAGTGATGCTGATGCTGTTTGTCCAGAAAGCACACTTAACCAAGAATTCTCCTCTCCCTTTCCACTAGGCAACCTGGAAAAATTCAATTTCAGTTTTAGAG